AAAGTCACAGGGGAGGTATTTTAGAAATCCAATCTGCCTTCCCACGGTAATCTCAGGGAAGTATGGAAGTGTATGAAACCTTGGTCCAGGAAACCTTCCGAGCCCTCCTTCTTGTATAGAAGTAGATGCACCTAAGCCATTCCCGATAAAATACATGGAGTGGGAGATTTTCAACCTTCTGGACAAACCAGAATCAAGTTGGGAGTGCAGAGGGGTGTTTGATGCTTCCATCTTTGATGGTCAAAGGCATCTATGCCTCTCTCTGCAGAGATGCTTTGACTGGCCCATGGAAGGATGCTTTTCATGTACTAACTTATTTAATTATTGCAATGACCTGATAAAATACTGTTTAGTATCCCCACTCTACAGATGAGGAAACAGAGGCACAGAGAGGCTAGGAAACTTGCCTGAGGTCACACAGCATATAACAAATTAAGGTGGGACTCAAACCCAGGATGTCCAGCTCCAGAGCCTTCACTTACCCACTCCACGAGCTGTCTATCTGTGCAGACACATTCCGTCCTAAAAACCAGCTCAAGTTTGTTTTGCCACTGAGCAATGCTCCTCTGAGCTCACAGAACCTAAGGCCTGTATGGTCCAGGCACCCCAAGTCCAGTTCTCTTGTTTTGCAGGTGGAGACAGACACCCCAGGGAAGGGGGTGGGGTGTGCAATTTCCAAGGTCACGCAACCAGCCACTGGAAGCATCGACACTGACTCAGGCCCCCAGACTCCTGAGACAGTGCTGCTCTTACCATCTTCCTGAGACTCACAGAAAATGTACAATCAACCCTTTTACACTGAGCAAACCAGTGGAGGAACACGTGGTCCTTTTCCCACCAGGAATGAAGTCTGAAAAAGCAGAGAAACAAGAATACTATTTCTCCTGTACCTCCAACCGAGTCATAAGCACAAATCAAGCACCATTTGTGGGCTTGACCTCGGTGACCATTTGCACCAAGCCATTCACCCTCACCTGGTTTTCTTTGTGACCAAACGCAGACCCTAGCAAGATGGCTGGCATGGGTTAAGGCTGCAGCCCATGCCAACTTTCCTCTTCTGTATAAAACACGAGCCATCTGGAAGACAAATTCAGCAGCAAAGACTAAAGAGGAATCCCCACAGCAGAGTCAAAGGCTGGGACAGGCTGCTCAGAGCAGACAACATTAGGAGCATCTAAGTTACTCCAACAGTGGCCAGCTAGGCACGGCTTAAACAGCACTCCTAGGAGCAGAGAGAGGCAAGCTGACAGAAGGACAACTACTCTAGGATTGGCACCTGCCCCCAAAAGATGGCCACAGTCACCACATCATCAGATCTCCCCTGATGCACTCTCCCTCATCCTTCTGCTAGCCACACAGGAAACAGATGACAAAAGACAAATGGTGACCCTCCCCCATCATGCCAGGTGGCACATGCCATCTCATGGCAAGTCCTAAAAACTTTATTGTTTAAAGGGATAAATGCCAGGCAATCGCGTCACTGGCTAGTTGAGTCTCTCATCCCAAATCACATGGAGAAACAGGTGAGGCAGACAGAGAAACACAGAGACCGCCACTATCGACCCTGAATAATGCCCGCTTCCCTTTCTCTGGGCACATCACGCATGACACGCGTCCTACCTGCTTCCATAAGTTGGCACTGTTGACCAAAGACGTGGGAGAAGGTAACAGGGCCTGTGGCAGAACTGGATGTGGCCAGCGAGGATTCCATGGCTCTTTGGGGTCTTCAGTGTTGGTCATGTGGCAGTGTCCAGACCCTTAGAGTGTTCGAGCAAAGGACGTCGCGTTGTCACTGACCTGGTAACTGTAGATCTGAGGCTATTTGTCACTTCCAGGAAAATGTCCCTGCCCCCGAAGTTCACAGTGTTTCTTCCTCTTACCACCCCCTCCTGGCAGTTTTTCTCAAACACCAGTCCAGTAGGAAATGCAACCCTATGGGGCTCGCAAATCACGCACAGCTACAAGAGTTAGATGCAAAAGAAAAATCCAAGTTTCCCCCAGCGGGGGCTGTTTCCGCTTGTCCAGGCAGGATGACTGGGAGGTGGCCCGCTAGTCTGCCTCCCTGGTGTCACCTGCAAGGGGCAGCGTCCACCGGGAGCTGCTCAGCCCCAGCCGCACAGGCTGCAGAGAGCTCGGGCGCCCACTGAGCTCCAGCGCCGGCTGCAGGCGAAGCGCTGCCCGGGCTCGGCCGCGTGTCCTCGCCGGGGAGGAGGGCAGGGAGCGAGGCTGCCCCGGGCTCCCCAGGGAGCTGGCCCTGCAGCGCCAGCCGCACCGGGCTCCTTGGTCCCCGCGGTCCCGGGTCCAGCGCGCAGCTCGGGCACGCTGCAGCTCCGGACCGAGCGGTGTCCCTGGGTCATCCTTCGCACCTCCCGACGCCTTTGGCTTCCCGCTCCCCCTCCTTGCAGAGCAGCGGGGAGCCGAAGCAGACACGGTGAAAGAGCCCCTGCGGCCACCTACTGTGGCGGGGCCCCCC